AATGTCAGATTGCAAAAATGTTGACGCCATTGTATAGAGCGAAAAAAGTGGCATTGTAAATATATAATTTATTTTAAAATTCGTTTTCAAATAAAGCCAGAAAAAAATAAACAATTTAGCAAAATTTCGTGTTTTTCCGGATATTTCCGGAACTACCCGGAATTTTAAAACTTTCTAAACAGCATTTTGTTAGGTATAAAAAAACACAACTTTTTTCTAATCTGAGCCACCCCGTATCTCTTACCGTTTCCTAGATTCTAATGCTATTCCATCCTTATCTTGGACACACTGTATATCTATGAATTCATCAAACTTAAAAAAAAATAAGTACACTAATCGATCCTACAGAAAAAAAAAATATTATTTATTTTATTTATTCACTATTCGACTTATGTTTATAGCAATACTGTATAAAAATAGTTTTGGGTCAAACAATGAGACAGTATTTTTTCCGTACAATTGAATGGTGTAATCAGTTTTTGATTTTTGTTTTAAATTTAACCAAATTATCAACGATTACTGAAAAATTCATTGCTGCAAGTCATTTTTTACTTTTTTGCATTTTTGAGCATGTTTTTGAACTGTGATTACAATTTTTTTTTATTTCACTAAAAAACGAAAAAAATGATTACCGGCAGAACTATGTACGATGATTTTTTTAAGTAGAATTTTTCTTTCAAAAAAACAGTGTTTCAGACCGAAAAAAATGAATATCTCAGAAACTTCTTGATTTTTTTGTCTAAAAAAATTTGAGGTTATTTAAGACAGAGAAAGGTATACTTTCACCAAGTTTAGTGAAAATTAAATTATTTTTGCGGAAATGAGAAATGAAAAACGAAAAATCAGAAAAAAACTGTTTTTCGCATTTTTCTCGGAAATTTTGAGGTTAAAAAATAACTTCTACAAAAGTTGTAGATTTTTTAATGATCTACAACTTTTGTATTAGATACTTTTTTGTTTGACGTCAACTTTCGCCAGAAATCCCAATGATACAATTTTTCATAACTTTTCATCCCCCCAAATCAACCCTCCCGCGCCCCTGCTCGCGCATTTATTTTTTTTTTTTCGTGTATTATAAGCCCCTTTACCATTTCCACTTATAAAAGTCCAGGTAACAATTTTCTATTTTTATCCTCTAATTGAGTTATTTGATGGGTCTATAAGAAAAACAATAAAAATACTTGGTAGAACTAGAAAATGTCAAGATTAAACAAAAGAAGAGAAAAATGCGCTAGTGATGACAGCGATGACATATCAACAAGGTCTCACCTGCGTATGAGGCTATTCTTCCCGAGGGCGCATTAGAAAAAACACGGCTAATATTAAATTTTTACTTTATTTAAATTTAGGAATATTCTTGTAAATCGTTGTGAAAATAAGTTAATTTGAAGTTGTTCATTTCTATAGACCTATGTAAGTACATAGTAAACAAGGGTCAGATTCGATCTGTACAATTTCAACTATGACAATTTGTTGCGGGTTGCCTAAATATGCGACATCGCACTAAAAGTCTATAATAAAAATCAATTGACCCAGCTATTTTTCATCAAGGTTTTTTGATTCCCATCATGCGTGGTAAGTGCGCTATGTATTTGTTCAGTAATGCCAGATTTACAAAATTTTTTACAAAAGGGCAGAATTTTTCTCTGAAATTTGACACTGCAGAATATATAACGTTCAGTTAAAAATAGTGTCGTTTTCTTAATTGGAAATTAGTTAATGTAACGAACACCCTCAGGCAACGCACATGATAGAATAGTCCAACTCACATTTATAATAGGGCTTCAGTTAGAATTGACCAATAGGAATTCGATAAACGCAACCGATATCGACGGATTTCATTTCTTTAGAACTAAATTAACATAATTCTCGTTGTTTAACCAGTTCACATAATTTACGAATTTTAAATAAAGGTTACAAATATTCGAGAGGATAATACGATATATTTGCTATACATAATAATTATATTTTGCATAGTTTACACACAATACATTTTTGAAGGCGTACGCATCTCTATCCGAATTTGACCTAATCTTCGGGTTAAAGAGTAAAGACACACTGTCCGCTCTCTACAATAAGTTAGGAAGGAAGGAAAACACAAAACCATGTAAAGGTAACGTAAAACATATGTTAAAGTAGTATACTTATTAGGGTGGCCCAAAAGAAAAAACCGAATATTTTTTTTTTCGTATCTCTTGTGAAAATATGTTACTTTATCATGTTTTAAGAGCCCCCTCAAAAAATCAATTCAAAAAATATCATATCATTTTCTAGGTTGAAAAAAATCTCGATTCTAAAAATTTCAAATCGATATTTTAATTTCTATAGGTCACTCATAATTATATTAACATTCAAAGTAGTGTACCTATATCTTCGAGCAACCTCTAAAAGTAAATATCAACGAACTAATTTTTTTTATTGAATTTGATGAACTAAATGATAGAAATAAATCACGAGACAATTAAATTTTAAAATATTAAAAAATTATAAATATTTGATACTCACAGTGCGGTAGTAAATTTTGCCTAGAGAAATTTTTAAAGTGTCTCGTGATTTATTTCTATTTTTTGTTCATCAAATTCAATAAAAAAAAATGATTAGTTCGTTGATATTTATTTTTAGAGGTCGTTTGAAAACATTTTAGGTACACTACTTTTAAAGATAAAATAATTATGAGTGACCTTTAGAAATTAAAATATCGATTTGAAATTTTTAGAATCAAGATTTATTTCAACCTACGCCATTATTCGAAAATGATAAAATAACAAGGAAAAAAAATAAAAAAAATTCAATTTTTAATTTTGGATTTTAAAAATCTTGAGCGATCCCCTTCGCTGTCCCTGATATATTTAAATCTAATTTAAGAAGTATAAATAAATCAGAGAATTAATATTAATTTATTAGAACATAGTGATGGAAGTGTAAATAACATTTTGCTACCATCAAATTCAGCAGAAAATTAAGCACCAAATAATAATTGTTCACAAGAGAAAAATAATAACTCCCCACCAAAAAAAAGCATTAAAAGAAGTAAATTTACAAATATTTTAATAAATGTTAAAAACTTAAATCCAAGTAAAAAATGTTTAACAGGTGGTCTATGATTAACACTAACCCCCAAAAAAAAGTTTTATACCAATCATAAACAAAAATTAATGCAAGTGTGTAAATTAAAAAATATTTAAAAACAATTGGAAAAAAATTTAATTTATGGTATTAAATCATATTGTAATTTTGCTTTGTTTCATTGTGGTCAGCATTTTGAAGAAATTAAACAATTAATAATAAATGTTTTTTACATTTCTATAAAAAATACACAAATAATATTAAATCAAAATTTGACTGAAAAAAGGCGAAAGAAAAATTCAACAAAAATTTTAAAAAATTAGTAGTTGATCAGAAATTTATTTTTGTTAGGTAGGTATTTAAAATCTGTAAGGTTTTGTTTAAGGGCCCCATGTTCTTTAAATAGTGTTTTCCGCAAAGACAAATAATTTCAAACATTTAATAACTGAATAATCTAAAGCTAATCAAATAATAGGAATGTTATGTCATGCCACCTGAGTATTTTCAAAGACGCCGCAGTAAAACGAATAAACAGGTGCAAAAAACGATCAAACCATCAAGGTTTTAGGTACTGAAATCTACGAAAATACTAACTTTTTTATATACAACTCCACATGTAAATATTCTTATAACATTTACTTGCTTAGTCCTACATATAAAATTGTTTACTTTTATTTATAAGTACGTGAAAATAATTCTTAAAATGTGGGGTTAGAATAACAGCAAACGCATGTTTTACAAACGTTTTTTTTACTTATTATTTTATTTGAGTAAATTTAAATGGTAACAATGAATAAACAAAACATCAAGGATTTTATTTTTGTGCTTACTTTTGTTCTACACGTTTTACTTTTAAAGATTTCAGTACCTAAAAACGCCAGAAATTTCACTATNAACTGAATAATCTAAAGCTTATCAAATAATAGGAATGTTATGTCATGCCACCTGAGTATTTTCAAAGACGCCGCAGTAAAACGAATAAACGGGTAGAAAAAACGATCAAATCATCAAGGTTTTAGGTACCGAAATCTACGAAAATACTAACTTTTTTATATATAACTCCACATCTAAATATTCTTATGATATTTCTTTGCTTAGTCCTACATATAAAATTGTTTACTTTTATTTATAAGTATGTGAAAATAATTCTTAAAATGTGGAGTTAGGATAACAGGAAACGCATGTTTTACAAACGCTTTTTTTTAGTTGTTATTTTATTTGAGTAAATTTAAATAGTAACAATGAATAAACAGAACATCAAGGATTTTATTTTTGTGCTTACTTTTGTTCTACACGTTTTACTTTTCAAGATTTCAGTACCTAAAAATACCAGAAATTTGACTATTTCTCGGTCAAGGATATGGCCACCTTAGATGTTAATTATTTTATTATTAAGGATATTTATTTATTAGAAATAAAATTAACTTTAAATATATATTTTTTGTTTCATACAAATAAAAAAAACAGAATATTTGTTTTTTTAAATTAATGTTTTGTTTGTATAAAAATTTTTATTTTTTATAATTCTATATATAATTCATCCTTATCCTATTATTTTTTTCAGATAAAATTAACTGTAATTTTGATTATTTATGATAAATGAATTTTCTTTTTAAATAAACCTAATCAGTTAATTTTCTTAGAAAAATAAAATTAGCAAAATTTAAATGTACCGCTGCCGCCTCTAGTTTAGTATATGCAGATAACAATTGCGCGCTACGTGTCTTGGATGTTGGATAAGAAAACCATTGCTAGTTGCTTGCTTCTGGTCCACTGGTCATCTTATTTTGTTGTCTCTGTCAGTCTGTCAACCGATTCTTGTTTTATGATTTGGTTGGAGATACGTGTGCATTATAGTACATACCATTAACATATTATATTTGTTTTGGATTTGTGGTTTTACTTTTGCCGAGTGAGGGGTTATTTTATAGAAATATACATACACGTACCTACATAATCGGTTACAGCTTAACGACGTTTAAATAAAGCTTAGGAAGTTGTTGAAGAGTGCTTTTGTATTAGGTAAGAAATACAAATTTAATATACACTTTATTGCCAATCTTCCCTATTTGTACAGTTATTGTGATAATACTATTTTGTATGTAAATATGTGCATGTAAATAGTATGGAGGTATACAACTTTGTGACCGAACCTAGTATTCCAGAAAAAAAATCCTAACCTGTACAGGTTAGGAGTTTGAATTTTTCACGAAATACTTACCTACTTCAATAGGTAGATAGGTACTTCACACAGCAAACGTGTACAAAGTTCATATATGCGCATACTCACTTATCATCTTCTGAAACATATATTCTAACAAACAATGCTTGGGAAACATATTTTTAGTAAAGGAAGGGATTGATAAAAATGTAGGTATTTGGTAAAATAAAAAAAAAAACATTTAGGTATGTTCATTGAACTTGAACTTCATTTGGTCAGTAGGTTATTTCTGTAATTTTATCTAATCCAAATTTACATAGATAGATAAGATTCTATATTAAGTTACGTTAGGTCAGGGTATGTTCTTTTGTATTAAATAAATAAGATTCAGTTTTTTTTATTAAAATTCAAAGAATTTAACCTAATTTAATCTAACCTTATATAAAATAGCATATAAACTTCCACATACATATAGTTATGTTAAGGCAGGTTAAGTTTCTTTTTATAGGTGCCTATTTTAAATAAATAATTAAATAAATAAAACAACCCCATGTAATCAAACGTTATAGGTACAAACATTTATACGTTACAGGGTAGGTTAGGTGAAATTGTTTTTATTTATTTAATATTCTGCACGGTAAGTGGTCTATTAAACGTTTCAGAGGAACCAAAGACAATATGAAATTTTGTTTGCGGGGGTTATCAGATATGTTCTCTTCAACAAAAATAATGCCATTAACGTAGCACTTCCGGTTATACCGGAAGTAGCTGTCAACTTCATTATTTTAAATGGAACACCCTATATATTATTGCATTATCGGCAAGATAAATTAAAAATAAATAAAAAATGTTACAACTTTCCTATAGTTACCCAAATGTAACCATTTTCGAGATAATCGACATTTTATTAAAATTTTGACAGATGCAAGCGTTTCGAAAATTCTTTATATCTTTCTTCGTTCTGGGAACATTTACTTGATTTTCGGAATACACAAAGAACTTAAGATGGACAACCTTCCGCTATCAAAATTACCTGAAGAAAATTATACTAAGTGTCCCATTTTTCACGTTACATTTTGAAAACTTAAAACCGACACAATTTTTTAAATTCAAATGGAAGACCTTGTATTTTTCTGCATCATTTTAAAGAAAATCAAATTATCTTTTCATCGATATGGGGTTACAGTTTCAATTTTCTCAGATATTTGCGGTTTCCTTACATTCTCAAGAATATTACGTTCAAATATCATCAAATGTGAATTGAAAGGTAAATATAGTACCTATTGTCATTCAATATTCTACAAGTTCAAGTGTTTTCTCGACAAGAAAAATGCAGAATAATTATTCTACTGAAGATATTTTGAATTTATTTTATGAAATGAAACTAGGCCAGCTACCTACAATAGCGTTCTTTGTAGAACATTAAAATATTTTTTATTTTTATTTTTTATAATTAATTACATTAATAAAATGCGTTGTTTCACTTTTGTTGTATCTTTTAAATAATGAGGGGGTATATTTACAAAAAAATAATAATAATATTTTCTTCCAATGAAATACTATTATTAATAACTGTAAGTACATAATAAAGAACAAATAAGCATCCTTTCATCCAGAAAACAATGAAATGTAAAGTAACCAAAANATTAAGCTTCTACGGAATATTGAAATATCATTAAAAAAAAACAGTAAAAATTAAATTTCTCCAAAACCGTTTGAGATATTATAATGAAATTTTAGGCGTGTCAATAGCTATGGGAGACGCCTACTTTGCAATACAAAACGATTTTTTAGTCTTACCAGTGGCGTGCGTATTGGCACGTCACTAGCTATGTTTAAAGAAAAAAATAGCACGCCGCTGGTTTTTCTAAAAATAAAATTTTTGAATTCCTTGTTCAATTATAAAGAAAAAAAAGCTTTCTTCAGATTATATCGTACGACGCACCGTTTTTGAGTAAAAAAAAATAAAACCATTTTATTGCGCGCCTAAAACCAATGCTAATTTAGAAATTTAAATTATTGAACAAAGAAATTCAAATTTGATTGATTTTTGAAATGTGGTAGTGTTGTCTGTAGTAATAATAAGGGACTGCGGTTTTGGAGAAATTTAATTTTTACTGTTTTTTTAATGAAATTTCAACATTCTGTAGATCGGTAACGAAGCGTTTGCGGATCTATGTTTATAGGAACTCTTTTTTATAAAATGACCTGGGCAATCACCCCCTTAAATATTGCCGCGTCTTTTTTAAACACCCTGTATAACTACCTCGCCTCGTAGCCTATTTAAAAGCTTGTTTAAGGCGTATATAGGTTTTATTAACATTTATTAAATCACTCCTAGAAATCGTAAAAGGTTCATTTCTGACTAACGTTATTGGCTCATAGAATATGTATTTTTCTTCGACTAATTGCACATCATCTATTTTAGGCCACATGTATTGCTGTAAATTCTCTTTCAAAAATTTAATGCGAAATTTTTCTTTTTCTTTTTCTATAACCCTACCAGGATTAATCGTAATATACGGCAAAGTAGTTCTCAAATTCTATAGCAACTTTTTTAATATTATTAGTTTCCTCTTCGATTGCTTCTAATACTAACAAGGAACCATCTGCGCTTATATCCGAAGTAGAATCCGAATTGGAAGTACTGCTAAGTTCTAAGTTAGGTAAAGATCTTTGGAAATTTGAGCTGGTTGTTAATTTCGAATTTTTTATTTACTACCAACAATATCATTTTTTGCAACTACAATATAATTTAAGTCCTCGTGAGAAATAGTTTTAAAAATGTCATCTTCCAAGAATTCAGTAAAATTTAATATATTGACAATAATTACACGGAGATTTCAAAGATTTTAGAAACTATTACATAAAGATTCCAGGGCAAACGTACGAAGATTACATCAGCGGATCGCCCCTCGTCGTACCTACATCTACAGGCTAAAATCTTAATTTTGTTTTCTCGAAGGCTAGGTTCGACCGCACAAAAATAAGAATTGGGTTCAGCTCCATCGGAAATAGAGGGATAAACAAAGTTTTGTGAGGATTTTGAAGTTTTTTGATATGGTAAATAATTCACAGCCACACACAAAAAAAAAGTTGGGTATACTTTTTATGCGACATATATTTTTCGTAGTAATTTGGCCTCCTGAATACGAATCTGGGGTCAGAATTGGCCCATCACGTCACAATTTTTTCCTAACCTCAAAAAACTTGTGAAAAATAGTGAAAATTGATGAAAATTTACTGGGAAAATTTGGAAAAAAATTTATTTCCACATCAAATAGTACATTTTTATGTAAAAGACTCTGCTGAATTCAAATCCACTGTCAGAATTGAGCTAGAACGTGTGGTTTTTTTTCTAACCTCAAAAAACCGAGCAGGAATCGCTATTTTCAAATTCTGAGCGGATTTTGACCAGATTTTGTATAAAGGGGTTTTTTGGGTCGCTGATTACGAATATGAATTCACATTGTAAAAATTCAAGATGGCTGATCCAATATGGCGGGTGTACTTTTTTGAAATCCACCGATTTCAGTAAAATTTGGCATCATAAGGATTGCTGGTTGATCTCACCTTCATTAATCACACATCTGGAGCCAGATTTTCATAAATCAAGGTAAAAGATTCCACTCCGTCTAAAAATGTGACTTCGCTTAAAAAAATGACTTAAGGACTCTACACATGTAATGATGTGTAGTGTGATGTGCTTGTTTCCATGGGACAAGACAAAAAAGTTTCTACTTTATTCTTTCATTTATTTAGTCGTGCATGGGCTTATGGTTTTCCAATCAGATTTTTTTAACTACTATGCAGTTTTCCTATGGCATTTAGATGCTTTTATTTCTTAATAATTTTAAAGTTCAAGGAAAAGGACACATTACTGCCACACAGCACATCACTGCATCTGCTTATGCCTTCAATCTAAAAATGTGACTTTGCCGAAAAAATGCCGCCTACTCGGCCTAAAATTATGACTCTGCCTACAAATTTGATTCCACCTGAAAATATGGCTCCGCCTAAAAATTTAACTTCGTCTATTTTAATTTACTTAATGATACTACTTCATCTAAAAATATTTCTTGGCCTAAAAATATGACTTCCTCTTAAAAATTTGACTTCGCATGAACATTTGACTCCCTTTAAATGTAACGATAAGAAACTTTGACGATATCATGATCGATACCGGTACTTTTAAAATAAGGGGTTGGCGAGCGTAGCAAGTAGAGTGGTTTGCCCCTTAGTACTTCTATAAATCCTTTATTTTATCAGTTATTCATTCAACATCTCGTATGATACGTTCTCTGGGCCCCCTTATAACTGTTGATCTATCTTCTTTCTGCTGTATCTTGTTCTTTTTTCTGCGAATGATCTGACAGATTTTCTGTCTGACCCTTTTTTCCGTTTTTTCCAATGTCTGATCTTGTTTCTTTTAAGGGACCAACAGTAGTCCGCCAACATATGGTCATCCCATCTTCCTTGGTAACGGTTTTCAATGACCTTATAATCGCCGCAGTTATCCGGGAAATCATCGATGTGAGAGTCCAAGAAATGAAGTTTTAAATTCATTAAGCAGCCTAGCTTCTTAAAATTTTTGACCATTTTTTTTTACTATATCCTTATACTTAGGACTCCTTTCATTCCCCAAAAAATTTTTAGAAACTTCTTTAAAACTCAGCCAAGCTGCTTTCTCGATTTCGTTCATTGTAGTAATAAATGTAGTATCTTGAAATAATTTCCTAATCTGCGGACCGTCGAAAACTCCTTTAATTTTAGCATCCGAATACTTTAGAAATTTTTTATATAAATACTTAAAGCATTGGCGGGCGCCCTCTTTGTTCAAAGCTTTCGTAAACTGCTTCAT